TAAAGAGACTCTTTATGGACAAATCGAGGACAATTTGAGCAACAAAATGATAGCAATGGATTAGAACACATAGAATGAAATAAATATCCGTGAGCCCAAACTGATAAAAACGAATAATTTAGAAGAGAGAAATAATGGGAGAATAATAGTGGGAGAAGAAAGAAAGGTTTTCCTTAGAATAGAATTCCAATTAATAAATGTAGAAGGAATGATGGAAATACAAAATCACTATTCGACAAATGGTAGGGTAATTCTTGTTGTGGGCAAGAAAGTATTGAGAAGGAGGATATTTACAAAGTTTCAAAAAAATCTCCCCACAAGACACTTTTTCGTTACTAAGAGAAAGAAAGTAATTTTATAGTGGGGAAATCCAGCAACTACTACTTGATAAACAGTAACTGTGGTTAAGTAACAAGACATACTGACATCATGAACTTTTAGATATGATACACTGAGACGAATGCAATATCATTTCTGTGATACTTTTTTTTTTCCTGTGATACTCTTGCCAAAATGTGTTAACACTGATTTAATCAGAAAAAAATGTCAGACAAACCCAATTTGAGGTATGTTGATAGAAGAGCTGACCAGTATTCTTCAAAACTTTCAATGACTTTAGGTGAAAGGCAAGGACTGAGAAGCTATCCAGATTAAAGGGAGATGACAATTAAACGCAATGTATAATCCTAGATTAGATCCTTGCCCAGAAAAGGGTGACCAGTAAGACAATTAATGAAATTTGAATAAAGTCTGCACATTAGTTAATAGTATGTAAACTTCCTGGTTTTGATGATTATACCCACAAAGGTCTGTATAGTAAAGTTATAGTTTTTCCAGCAATCATGTACAGATGTGAGAGTTGGACCATAAAGAAGGCTGAGCACTGAAGAATTGATGCTTTCGAGCTGTGGTGCTAGAGAAGACTCTTGAGAGTCCTTTGGACTGCAAGGAGATTCAAACTAGTCAATCCTAAAGGAAATCAACCCTGAATACTTATTGACAGGACTGTTGCTGATGCTGAAACTCCAATACTTTGGCCACCTGATGCAAAGAGCCAACTCATTGGAAAAGACCCTGATGCTGGGAAAGATTGAAGGCAAAAGGAGAAGGGGGTGGCAGAGGATGAGATGGTTAGATAGTATCACTAACTCAATGAATTTTAGTACATTCCAGGAGATAGTGGAGGACAAAGGAGCCCGGTGTGCTACAGCCCATGAGGTCGCAAAGAGTCAGACTGGACTTAGCAAATGGACAACAACAATGTGCAACACAAAAACACTAGAGGAAGCTGAGTGAAGAGAATTCTTTGTACTATTTTTACAACTTTAAAAAAAATTAGCTTGGAATTATTTCAAAATGAAAAGAGAAAAATAAAAATTTGTTCAAATAATTATCCTTTAAAATACTGTCTCTGAAATGTTAATTTTTGTAAAGTTGTGAAAACAGTTTTTGACTTTTTTTTTGAAAGTGCTTTCTGTATCAGTTTACTGTGACACAAGAAAAGCAGTTTCTTGCAATATTTTTTTAAAAAACTATTATGGAAAACTTCAAACAAAAAAGTGGAAGGAATAATCCTTTTGTTTCCATCATGACCTCTTACATACCCATTACCCAATTTTAACAATAAGTATCCTCATTATCAGAGAAGGCAATGGCACCCACTCCAGAGCTCTTGCCTGGAAAATCCCATGGATGGAGGAGCCTGGTAGGCTGCAGTCCATGGGGTCTCGAAGAGTCGGACACAACTGAGAGACTTCATTTTTAATTTTAACTTTCATGCATTGGAGAAGGAAATGGCAACCCACTCCAGTGTTCTTGCCTGGAGAATCCCAGGGACGGGGGAGCCTGGTGGGCTGCCGTCTATGGGGTCGCACAGAGTTGGACACGACTGAAGTGACTTAGCAGCAGTAGCAGCAGCAGCAACCTCATTATATTCACAATATTTATTTATTTATTTGGGTTCTTTCTGGAATAATTTAAAGCAAGTCGAAGATGTCATTTTGTAGTAAAGATTTTTTTTTCTTTAAACATAGCCACCTTAACATTATTACATCTACTAATATGAATTCCTGAAAATGAACAAATTCCCAGGCTTAATTCAAATTTTGGTGTCTTGAATCAGTTCGTTTGAATCAAAATCAAGAGGCACATATTTGATTATGTCTTTTAAGACTTACTTTTTGATAGCCCACCTTCCCCTTACACCCTTCTTTTTAAATTTATTTAATTTGTTGGGGAAATTAGGTTATTTGTCCTATGAAACCTGATTACTTCTTCTTGGTGTTTGGTCGGCTTTTTAAACATATTTTTCTATCACCTGTATTTCATATAAATTGCTGGTTAGGTCTAAGCCTTAATCAGATTTGAGTTGAATTTGGAGGAATCATGAATACTTAAAGAAGGTGCTTTGCAGTTCTTACTTCATCACATCAAGAAGTATCTCACTTTTAATGGTACTAAGATTGACTGAGGGACTTCCCTGGCGGTCCTGTGTCTGAGACACCACACTTCCGGTGGAAGGGGCCCAAGTTTGACTCCTGGTCAGAGAACTAGATCCCACATGCTGCAACAAGACCTAGTAAAGGGAGGTTCAAATGGTATCTGGCTGATTCCATCATTATAAAATTCAGTATCTTTTTTAAAAGTAGATGTTATAAACATCTAATCAAACAACCCAATCAAAAATGGGTTAAGAGTCCGCCTTGCATGGTAGGGGACGAGGGTTTGATCCCTGGTCAAGGAACTATGATCCCATATGCTGTGGAGCTACTAAGCCCCTGTGCCACGACTACTGAGCCCACGTGCCACAACTGAGACCCAACACAGCCAAGCAGATGGATAAATATTTTTTTAAGTCTACAAATAATAAATGTTGGGGAGGATGTAGAGAAAAAGCAACCCTCCTACACTGTTGGTGGAAATGTAAATTGGTGGGGAGTTTGGAGGTTTCTTTAAAAATTAAAAATAAAAAAATTAAAAATAGAACTACCATATGGTCCAGCAATCTCACTCCTGGGCACATATCCTGAGAAAATCATAACTTGAAAAGATTCATGCACCCCAATGTTCATTGCAGCACTACTTTCAATACCCAAGACGTGAAAGTAACCCGTCCATTGACAGATGAACGGATAAAGATGTGGAATATATATATATATATATATATACACACACCTTGGAGAAGAAAACGGGATGGCAAAGAGTTGGACAGGACTTAGTGACTAAACAACAACATACATATATATGTATCTGTGTACACACACACACGCACACACACACAGTGGACACAATTCTGTACAGTAATTATCCTTCAATTAAAAAATAAATTTAAAATTAAAAACAAAGAATGGGATAGTGCTATTTGCAATAATATGGATGGACTCAGAGGTTATCATACTAAATGAAGCCAGATGGAGAAAGATATAATATCGCTTATATGTGGAATCTAAAAAATGAGATTAATACAAACGAACTTATTTATAAAACAGAAATAGACTCACAGTCATACAGTTTGGTAATTTATGGCTCCAGAGGGAAAAGGTGGAGGACAAATTGGAAGTTTGGGATTAAAATACACACACTACTATATATAAAATAGATAACCAATAAGGACCTACTGTACAGCACAGGGAACTATACTCAATAGCTTATAAAAACCTATAGTGGAAGAGACTGTAAAAAATGAGTTATATATGTAGATAGATAACTGAATCACTTTGCTGTACACCTGAAACTAACACAATGTTATAATCAACTATATTTCAATAAATATTTCTTTACAAAGCCAATGTTATAAGATTTCCCTGGTTGGCCAGTGGTTAAGAATCCACCTGCCAATGCAAGGGACATGCCATCAGATCAATCTCTAGTCCAGGAAGATTCCACACTACGCTGAGCAATTATGGCCCTGCACCACAACTACGGAAGCCCACGAGCCCTAGAAAGCCGACGAGCCTTAGAAAGCCCACAAGCCCTAGAGGCCGTGCTTGAGCAGCCCCACTCTTGGCAACTAGAGAAAACCCAGGGAGCAAACAATATCCAGTGCAGCCAAAAACAGAAATAAAATTTTAAAGCCGATAGTATATATGTACAGCTCTATCAACAGCAGTCACAGTCAAGTCCTGAAATCTAGACCAGGGGTAGCAATCTTAATAATGTTTTTCAATTACCTTTCCTAACATAGAACTGTGGTTGAAGGTTCACATCAACCTTTCATCAAAAAGTATCATGGGAAAAAAAGTTTTATGAGGAAACTAATCTTAAAAATGCAAAATGCAACTAAAGCTCAAAGTCATCTCAGAAAGTATCACCACAATTTTAAACCAAGTAGATAGATTTGGGAGTTTTGACTATGAAGATTTATAGAAACATCTGAGTTAAAGAAGATTAGAAGAGGCACTTCCCTGGTGGTCCAGTGGTTAAGAATCTGCCTTCCAGTGGAGGGGACAAGGTTTGAATAGTTAGAGAACGAAGATCCCACGTCTCAGGGCTACTGAACCAGCGCCCCTCAACTTGAGAGTCCCCATGCCACAACTAAAACCCGCACAAAAATAAATATATAATTAAATAAATTAATTTAAAAAGATTAGCAGGGAAATAAGGATTATTTTAAAAATTGACACAGGGAGGAGTGAACTCATTATAAATCCCATCTGTGAATAAATTACTTCAATAGCAGGAGAGCAAATGCTGAAGAAAAGTTGAGTGCTGACTGAAACCATTCAAAATAAAAAACCTACTAATTATGAAGACGATTCCAGTTTTTTCTGTTCCATCTAAATCCACTTGGAAAACATATAAAGGGACTAAAGTCAGTAAAAGCTTATGTGGTGAGTGAAAATCTTCAAATGGACTGACGCTTAAGGAGTCTGAAATTGGAACGTCAGGTGGGCGGTCGGTTCCGAGGCACCGAGGGTCAGAGCTTCTGCGGCGGGCGTTGCTAGGCCCAGGCCACCACAAAGCCTCCTTGGGGGCGGGGCCTCTTGACGTCACAAAGACGCTCCGCCCCTACGTCGTACACTAGAGAGGCCAGAAGGTTTCTGGCGGTGCCGGCGCCATTTTGCCGGAGTCTGCGACCGAGTGGGAGTGGAGTAGAGCGGCCCTTGTTGCCGACTCTTTCCTCCTCCCCACGGTCCAGTCAGCGGGTTGATTAGGCCATCGGCCCTCAAGCCGAGACTTGTCTCTTATTTAGTTCTGGGGAGCGCCTGGCCGACATGAGTGATGTAGAGGAGAACAACTTCGAGGGCAGAGTGAGTACAAAGCCGCGGGAGCCGTCTTCGGCGGCCGCCCCGATGCTCGGGGTTTCACGGGGACGAGCGCGGTCGGGCGGGGTTGCGGGGAGTCTTGCGGGGGCCCGCTGGGAGCAGCCTCTGGAGCCATCGAGGTCGCTTCTTCACATCCCAAGATGGCTTCTGGGTTACACTCTTGCCCCAAATACCACGGATCACCCCCCTTTCCCCCTTTTTTGGAGACTGACTGATAGCCGGACTCCTGGGTCCGATTCCCACCCGCCCCGCGGGGCACCTTGCCTTCTCCCCACCCCGAGGCTTCCTTATCGCTGTTCAAAGGTGTGGGTCCCCGTCGCGGTGGGGCGGGAGGAGACGGCAGGGAGTTCCCCTCCGGCCGGATAGTGGTAGGTGCTTCCTGCGGTGGCGTTTCTGGCGACCCCGAGCATCGTAGAGGGTCTCGGGGTCGAAAGTGCGCGGGGCTGCTGTCCGGGCGGGGAGAAGCTGGCGCGGGACTAGCTGGGGCCTGTGTCTCCTTGGCTCTCTATTGCAGTGAGCGGCCGCGTCTCTGTTGGAACCGGCAGCGTTGCGTCTATAAAGGCGAAAGCCTTGAGGTTGAAGGTGGGACGAGCCTAATGAAGTGGTTAGTCAACGACCGCACCGACCCTTAAGCGTTCTTAAGACGAGAGCTGTGAGGGGAAAACTACGCAAGGAGCCCTTCTCCTTTAATGTCCCTTCTGCTTTCTTTTCACTTCAACATGAATGTGGAAATGCTATAACGCCTTATTTTTCTAATTCCTTAATGTTGGGCTTTTTTTTTCTTTCTTTCTTCTTTATATCTCAACTTCCAATGCTTTTCCTCCTATGACCTTTAACCTAAACACTCACCACTCCTTTACAGGTTTTTACGGTAAAAAACAAAAAGGACTCTTCTGTCTTAATCTTACATAACTGAACAAATTTCATTGCTCAATATTTTTACAATAGTTTGTGCTATTCTCTTAACGCAAAAAGGTTACCTGAAAATTCCAGCCCCTCTCTCTCCCATTTCTCTTCTCGATCCATCCTTCAGCAAAGAGGGCTCGAAGTTTTTCATTATTTTGGGTGTGATGGGTATAAACATCACAAAGATACCTTATCCTCAGCTTAAAGATACTAGGACTTTTAGCAGTGATTGGGTTATATTTCGGAAGTTACCCTCTAGTGAAAATTGATGGAAGTGAGTTAGTGTAAAGCCCTGTAAAGAAAACAATCCCCAGGCAGCATTTTCTGGCTCCTGTGTTGGCATTCTGGTCACTAGGGGAAACGCATCAAAAACACTTTAGGTGTGTGCTGGAAGGAATGAGTTTTGCCTTTTTTTAGACGCTCATAAGCATCTGGAAACAGATGGTTAAACCAGAAGAAGGTCAATTTAGACTTTTGTTCTTTTTTGAGGTTAAGACAAAAAAGCTATCTTGAATGCCTTTAAGATTGGTATTCTCTATTAAAATCTAAAGCCTGTAGGTATCAATGAATTACCTGCTCATTTTTTAGGATGGGGTATTGATAGTCCCAAGAAAACTTTTTAAAAAATCATGTAGTATTTGGTAATAGGTAGTTGTAAGCTGCTTCTTGTTTTGAAAATGTTAGCTAATAATGGGAAGAAATTTTACTGTCAGTAACTTAAGTACAATTTTGGGGAGTTAATGTTTTGGTTTGTGGGGAATTGAAGAGAACTACTTTGGGGACCTTATTTTCCTTTGAGGTCTTACCTTTTTGGGGGGGGGGTCATCAAATTGAGAAATTTGGCAAGTTCTAGGTAATTGTTACCTTACCCAGCTAAGAAAGTAATATATGTAAGATTCCTACCCAGTTTTAAGCTAAAATGCATGTAGGCATTAACTGTATATTTTAATAGGAAAAGGCATTTTTACCTTTTCCTCCTCTTTTACAGTGTTCATGGTCATAGGAAATAATTTTTCACATCTGATACCCAAGTTAATGAATTCAGTACGTTCACCAGTTACCTTTTGTTTTTTGTGTTTTTTTGGTAGGTTGAGGTAATTGTTCATAATTGGAAGAAGAATTAGAAGAGTGGGAGACAGTTTTCTGATGATGTACTTTTTTTTGTTCTCTTAAAGCAGTTTCATATTCAGCAGTGCTTTTAGTTTTTAAACTATAGTGACCTTGGTTTTATAAAATACAATTGTGTTATCTTTGTATGTAAATGTAATAACGTTTTAGAGAGTCTCAGAAAAGGATTTTTAAATGGTGTTTCTGAAATGATTTAAGTAGTTGTTATACTTTAAACTTTTTTATTAAAACAAAGAAAATGTCAATAGGTCAGTGTTCAGATTTCATTTCGTTTATGTAAGGAATAAACAACATATGTTAACCACATCTTATTGAAAAGATTTAAAATTAGAGAGTGACTCTATGGGAACTTTGGAACATATTAAAGAAAGAGGATTGATACTAATAGTTCCTACTTTTATAGATTTACAGTTTTTACAGTTTTACGTTTTACAGTCTCCCCCCCTCACCATCTTTGACATATTTTCTAATTTACAATGGCTGGAGAACTCTTAACCATTTTAGAAATTAAAAACAGATACCCAAAAGACAATGCAGCCAGGAATCTGAGATTTGCAAGTCCCAATCCATTGCTCATTGCATGCATGAAATATGCTATGTATATATTTTGATTACTTTTCTTAAAAGAGCACACTCCATGTCAGTGTCTCAGAGCTGTTAATGGAGTTTTCTAAGAACAATTACAAGAACTTAATTTTCCATTATAGATAATTACCTCTTGAGTTTCCTAAAACATAAAAGAGCTTTAGGAAGGAAAATATAATTTGCTGAATTTTTGTTAAAAGTCATCCTAGCAGTTAATCAATCATATTCCCTTCGAAAGTGTTGAGCATCTGTTACCTTTTTTGTAAAGACCAGATGTTGTCGAAAGAGAGAATTTGGAGTCTGATTTGTGATAACTGATAGCTCAAATCTGGGTAAAAGAATATAAAAAACAAAAAAATATAATCAAGTACTGTATGATAGAATTAATAAGAAATTCAGAAAATGAAGTTGAATGATTTTGTGAACCCAGAGGAAAGGAAAAGTTTTATTTAGTATGTAAGACTTAACATTGCATATTATGATAGGGAAATACAAATATTGATTGTAAAAATGAGACAACGAGGAGGTTGCTAGACTACATAGGCTTGACTGTGTAGTCAGATAGTGGAGGAGTTTGAATTCTAGATTTAGGAATTTGGACTTAACCCAATACGTGGTAAGGAGCCATCAATAGATTCTTAATTCTGAGAGTAGCATAATGAAAGGAATTTTAGCAAAGAACAGAAAATAGCATAGGAAGAGCAGCAGGGCACACTTAAAATATCTAAGGAAGGAGCTTATGAAAAATCTGATCTAAACTGGACAGCAGTGGGATGTAAAGAATGAGCAAGACAATTTCAAGGGATCCAGAAGAATAGCGATATTTATTAAAATAAGTCTGTTTAATCAGTTTGCTTGACATGTGCATCAAGTTAACAGAATTTTAAGTGAAACTATCTTTATTTGGAGTTAGGAGTGAGATTGACACTTGAGCTGACTTTCTTTGCATGTCATCTTCATAAAAATAACGAATAGTTTGCTGTGTACAACTTCAACTAAAATTAGGATTTCAATCTCAAAAAATTTTAGTATCCTTGATAGAAATTAAGGGGAATAGAAATTAATATTTTCTTCTTATTTTATTTATTCTCCTCTACCCCTAATTTTTTTTCCCTAATTTTTTAAAAAATGAAACTTAGAAAAACATTGAGTCCAATTTTTTTTTTAAACAATGGTCCTGAGTTTTTAATCTAGGTTAAGGATTCTTTATCATGTAGGAGTCTATCTTATAATTCCATGATTGTGTATACTTAGTAGAAGAGGAAGGATACTACTTATTCTGGCATCCTGTTTTGAGAGCTTGTTCTGGCTTCTTGAGTAGCTGGGATATTTTAAAGAGACCCTAGTATTCCCATTCTTAATATATGAGATGATTAACTGGATAATAAAAGTGAAGAGCAAAACATAAAATCATCTATCAATTTGGAATTTAAATTTGTGTGTTAAGATATTTTGTTAAAGAATATACAAAATAGGGGAAGGTGTTTTTGTTTTTTCTTCTTTGAAACCTCTTTTGTAATAATAAGGGTGATGACTGTGCCATTAAAAACCCAGCTTGGCCACTAGTTTCTTTTTAAAAAAAACCCTCTTTTCTTTTTTTTTTTAATGAATACAAATAAAATTGAAATCCTGTTTTATAAATAAGAACGTTAGCAGTTTAGGTTTAAATAAAAAAAAACTTACTCCAGCAATTTAATTTTACATATCTCATCACATCAACCTGTTGCAAAAGAGTAAGGCTTCCGTTTTTTTAGTAGGAGTATTATTAAACTTAGGGAATAGTCTGTGTCTCTTGAGTTAAATTTTTTTTTTAAGTAATATGTATCCAATTTTAATACTTTTTTGTTCTCCCCATCCATTTATTTAAGCAGAGAATTTGTAAAATTTAAGGAAATGTTTTAACATTCAAATTTTAATATTTGAGATTCTTTCACTGAAGGGTGCTCATTTGCACAATCTAAGCAGAAGGTGGAATTTTTAAAAGGAACAGTACAACCAGTTGCACCCAGGATGCCTAACTCTACTTTTACAGATTTGCCATAGATACTTATAATTTGTACCATTCCTAAAACGAGTATAAAGAGTCTTGGGATCTGAAAGACTATCAAGGGATTTTAATATTTAGAGATGAGAGTCATTTTTTAAAATACAGATAAACTTTGTTTAGGGACTTAATTTTGTAAATGAACTCGTTACGTCCTTATGGTATAGTGTGTAGTATACAAGTGTAAAAATGGCCTTGAGTAATCAGCATAAGTTTTTTAGAGCTTGTAAATACTGTGAAAACCTCTTGATAGCATCAGTGGGTGCTCAGTCATCATGTAACTAACCCTGAGACCCCTCCCCTTTGGGTACAAAAGGTATATATCCTCAAGCTGAGTGAGTTAATACTTACTATTCACACATCGTAACCAGTTTAGTAGGATAGAAGTGAAGATGAGAAAATGATAATGATTGGATGGGGAATCAGTAAACACTGTAAAAAGAAAAAAATTGAGAGGAAATAATGAAAGAAAATGTGGTTCCCCTCCTTCCTTCAAGTTACTGCCATAATGTAGTTCTGTATAATCTTTATTGTCTCATGATTTTCACCAAGTGTGAGAGACTAGACCTGAACAGTCTGAGGCAGAAGAAAAGTTAAGTTTTTTCCTTGAAACTAAGGCCCTGTAGTCTTATTCAAGATTTGTAAATACTCCGTAACACTAAAAGATGAGAACTAGGAAATTCTGTAGTGGGTTCTTAGTGGTTTGTTTTAATATAGCTAAACTACTTTAGTCCTTTTACATTTATTTTCTATACCTTTGAAGTTGCCGCTTACACACTAGCTTTTTGGACAACTGATCATAGTGTATAAGCTGATTGGTTTATGAACCACTTTTGTACAGAAGGAAATTTCCTGGTGGTCCAGTGGTTAGGAATCCATGTTTCACAGGGATCAAGGGTTTGATCCCTGATCAGGGAACTAAGATCCCGCAAGCCACATGGCATGGCCTAAATAAATAAAAATTGTATGGAAGATTTGTAAATTTTACAGGTAATTTCACAGTGTGACATGAGTTTAACTGCCAGTTCTTTAATAATTTGTCTAACACCTTGCCAAAATTATTCCAAACTTTAGAAACTATAAAGACATACAAGTTAAAGTATCTGTGAGCCTCTGTAGATACAAAAACCACTTTAACCTCACTTAGAATGCAGCATACTGGACTTTAAAAGAAGGTAAATTATTTAAAAATAGCTAATATTTTGAGCAGTTGGTATTTTCTTTTTTAAGAAATTGCTTTAATACTAGTTATGGATTAAAAATAGTGAAAATAGTTCTTTTATAAGCTTAAGGATCTATAAAAGAAACAGCTTAATACGCAAAAGGAAGGAAGCAGAACTGCTATAAACTGAAAGACGGAAATACATGAATTGAATAAACACAGACTGTTGTCCACAAATCCTAAAGAATGAAGTTCTTAGTACAATAAATATAAGTTATTTGGGTAATTTAAACCCCTCCCACCCCCACATATAGTTCACCTAAATGCACTAGTATGTTTGAAAGCTCTCAATTTTACAAAGTAGTAGAGAAATACATTTTGAGAATCTGTTTTAAAACCTTAGACTATGTTCATATAGACTTGAACTTCTGTAAACTTGGCACTGTTACTTGGCATTTGCCTTGCCATAATATTAGAATGGGTTATAGTGTAACATTTTTATTGGTTTATTTTAATGGGCTTTAAGTATTAAGCATACATATGGTTGGAATTTGTTTTCCATCTATAACATATTAGCTGTATTAAAAGACACTGCAGTTATTTGCTGTAGGATTTGTTCATGTTCTGCAACTACATGTGTGTGTTTAAACCTTTTTCCTGATTAAAAAGTAGTACATGGTTACAATATTTTTACACATAGATAATTCTTAGATTGAGTACATGGTCATGGTATATTTATACATAGACAATTCTTAGACTGCTTGTATGGGATACACTATAGTAGTTTCTTAGTGATCGTAGTTAGCTCCTTCTTATTTTTGGCTGTGTACTTTCAGCTACCACTAGAGGCCTCTTGTTAATAAAGAATAGTTAAAAAAAAAAACCCACTATTTAAGCAGGTTGTTCTGTGCGAGAACTTTCTGCCCAGCTCCTGGTTTATAGTAGGTAAGGTAAACTAGAAGCCTACTTAAGATATATTTCTATTAAAATTTGTGATATGATTTGGTTGAGTCATAAATCTGCCCATTTCAAGTAGGCACTATATTGGTTGGTGGGTCCGGATGCAGGTTACTTAGGAATTTGCAGAACTTCTGACAGATTTAAGAAGTAGGTTAAGTAGTCTCTAGTGAAACGGGACAGATAACACCCTTCTCAATGTTTATTTTTCTCTTTGCAATTTTTATTCCTTTTCCAAATTCTGAATAGTTGTATAAATTTCTTTGGGGAAAGTTGATATTACCATTTCATAATGAAGATAGTCAAAGATGGAAAAGAATAATCTAATATTTGTCCACAAAGGACTTATTATAGTCTTATTTCTAATGCACAGTGAAGAATAAAAGTTTTTTATGCTCTGGAGTTTTAATTTTTAGTTTAAATTTACTGACAGTTGATTTACGTTTTTAGCTAGATGTCTCTAAATTGTTTTTGGAAGTTAAAATGACTGACATCTTTATAAGTTAAAGGGGGAGTTATGAGCACTCTTTCTTAACCTTGAATGATTCCATGAAAAAATAGATGCAGTTTGAGGTTTCCCTGATACAAAAATTGAAAGGTAGGTAACAAAGATTAGGTATTTGTGACACCTTAGATAATAAAAAGCAAAAGATACTCTGTCACATCTTAGCTTTTGTTAACAAACTAAAAGGAAGATTATACATTTTCCAATGAGTTGCTATGCCAGAAATGAGATTTAAAATTTAAATTGTTACCGAGTTACCTTGTTAATGTTAATACCTAAAAAGTGGTTACTTTCAGCACTATTGAATAATTTCCTACTATTGTTTTTATGATAGAAGTCTTTAATATATAAACTTTTTATTTCTGTCTTAAAAATTAAAGGTTTTAAGAGTATCAGAGCACACAGAACACAAAGTTTTTTGTGTATATAACAAGGTCTGTAGTGATGTTTGTAGATTTATACCAAGGGATCTGTTTATATAAGGGAAAGCCAAAAGCGAGGGGGGTGGTATATTTTTACCTAATGAAATGTAGGTAATGAACTGGCCTATGAGACTTCAATTACAAATGAGTGGCCATACTTTTGTTTTTAGTCCTGAATATGCTGCTTTTACAGTTTCAGTGAATGAAAAAACCTAAATTGCTATGCCTGTTCCAGGCATCTGTCCAGAAATTTAGAAAGTATCTGAGATGTGGTGAAAGACTTTCTGTAGGTAAATAGCTGGAAAAGGTGGATGTTGAACAGAAGGGTAGCTATGTATTTCAGTTTGTTTTCATCTGGGGAAAAAAAAAAAAGGCCTGGCAGCATCAATAGTACCGTTTTTGAAAAATAAGTCTTTGACATTAAGCCTGAAGGAAAACTTCAAGGAAGTTGGGTGATAATCTTAATGACATAAATGAAAATTGGTGGAAAATGGGTTTGTTTTCACTAATAATCAAGGGTTAAATGGACAGATGAACCAAACTGTCCATCCTACCTTGATCGTAAGTTCTTTGTATATCTATCAAAATTCGGGCTTCTAATAAGTTTTAAATTATTTGACTTGGAAAGTTTTGATTTATATCCAATTTTTTTAGAAGCCAGTCAGTTTTCTGATAAATGATATCGTCACTGAAGGGAATATAAGTATGCATAACTATATAAAATATGCAAAAACTATGAAAAAGGTAGGATAAACAATAAAGACCATGATACTAATTTTGTAGGGTACATTATGATACTTCATTGGATAAAATAGAATTTTTAAAATGGCTCTGTTGCAAAAATATACAACTTCTAGAAACTTAAAAGCCAAAGGGGAAAATTTTTAAATTTCATATTCCCCCCCCCCCCCCTTTTTTTTAAGTGTGCTTGTTTTATTTCAGATTGTATCTTTCTGGTTAAGTCAGAGTGAGCAAAGATAGTGGTCAAACAATCAGGAAATGTTAGTAATTTTACTAATTGTGTTTTACTTCTCTGAACCTCAGCATGTGTCCTATAATAGTTGAGTTTAGATAGGTGTGTACAGATATTCCAGCCTGTGATGCTTTGCTTAAACTATATCTTGGTATCTTAGCCTGGCTTAGAGAAAGCTTATTTTGAGATTATTGGGAATCTTCAGGTTATAAATTAGTGAAAACTTAAGACATAGGTATGGGGGGGTTACAGTTAATGTTAGAGTTATGCTTGAATTAAGTATTTATATTAAAACTGCTCACATTTTAGGAACTAGGATGAAACTTGAAAGGGGAGGAGGGTGAACAGTATGGTAAAAAACATTTAGAGAAATTCAGTAAATTCTCTTTAATTGTTAGAAACTAGAGTTTTGAACAATTTTAAAGATTATAAAATTGTTTTTTTAATAAACTAGTTATTTGCACTTTACCTGCTGGCTTTTCCATTTAGTAGATAACATTCTGAACTCCAGCAGAGTTTTATAATCCCCACGTGCTTAAATATACTAAATGTTCTTTTTCCATTAAGGTTAATGTTCGTGAAGAAATTGAAGAGTTTTTTCCAAGAATGTGGAAGATAAATCAAGATAAAAGAAGGCTAATGAAAAGTATTAAAGATCAGAAAATTAAAATTGAATGGGGGAAAAAATTGAACAGAAGATTGGTCAGATAGAAGCCCTTGAATATTTTTTTAAGGCTATTTTGAATTGTTTTGGGGAAGAATACACGAAGTATGAAAAATGAAAAACTCAATGAAGAATGAAGAGAAGTAGAAAGCAAGAGTGAAGTAGAATTAAAAGAATCTGGAAGAATGAATGGGTCCTAGGTTAAGTAAATGTATGGTTTATGTTCCAGTGTCTGTATGATCAAGTTGTAGATGAATTTGCATGATTACTTAGTTAATAGAGAATTGGTGATCTGGTTCAAGTAGGGAATTATTGAGGACAGTTAGCAGTATTAACAATGGGTTATTAATGAGCTGAAATTTTTTCTGGAGGGTGTTGCCTAACCATTTGTTTTTCAGGAGCAATCAATATAAATAATTACGGTACTTTAAATGTTAGGTGTTAGGCATCTATGTGACCAGTGCCATTTGTAATACTGTCTTCTTTGTTAGGAGTCTCGCTCTCAGTCAAAATCTCCAACGGGAACTCCTGCTCGTGTAAAATCGGAGAGCAGGTCAGGATCTCGTAGTCCATCAAGGGTTTCCAAACACTCTGAATCCCATTCTCGATCAAGATCAAAATCCAGGTAAGTGTTTAAAATAATACGTAAGTATGTTTAAAATGCTTTTCTTGGATTTTTCTGGGCAGTGGTTTTTACCAAATTCCTCATTTTTTGTTGCATTTTTTTCTGAAAATTTCATTCAAAATCATGAGGGTTTTTTTTTTTTTTTTTTCTGAACAATGGAGTTTAGAAATCAATGGTATGTTACAGATATAAAGACTTAGATAAGGTAGAATCATTTGTTAGCCCTATTAATCTAGAGCTATTACTCACTATTAATACAAATTAAATATGTGTTGATTGACTTAAATGTGCTTAGCATTTGAGGGTTATTGTTTGATTTTATTTCAGCGATATTTGCACAACAAAAGGATAATTTTCTCCATTGGAGACTTGGCATAATATTTAATTCAGAAAAGGTTGATATATATACGTTGTACTGGTTATCAGAATGATTTGAGAAGCTTTTTCAAGTTTCACATTATAGCTACATTCTTTAACTGAAGATTTTGACTCATTAGGTCCAGGGTGGAACTCTGATCCTCTGATCAGATAGACTTGTTGGAAAGTGGTGCTGGAGTGATTCAGAGTTCCAGCCACTTCCCCTGATTACAACAAAGACTAGTGAGCCATTTCAGGGTTCAGTTTCAGACACCTCAGGTGTACTGTTGTGGAGCAGTGGGAGGAACAGTTAAAAGCAATCTGGACAGTTATTTTGATGAGTCATTGTTAAAAGACATAATTTATGTCTCTGGATAGAGTATGCTTGCAAAGGGACATGAAACAAGAATCAAAGGCTGTATTTTCCTTGTAGTCTAGTTAGTTCTTTTTCTCTGTTGTATCCAGGATCCAGCCTCGTGCTTGGTTTGTTAACCACTCTACATATTTAACTGAATCCACATGCGCAGAATTGCGCTCCGTAGAATTCTGGTGTGGAAACAGAAGTGAACATATTTTCATTTTAGGACTTCTGTGGTTGGTACTTTCAGCCTAGAATATTCTTCCCTCATGGTATTCTCAAATCATCACTTGATTCAGTTTTGTGCTCCTGTATCACTGGAGAACATTAAATAGCAGTGCGCATACTCTATTCCCTCACTCCTAATTTTTTTTCATGATATTTATCACTGTCTGACTTAAAGAAAGTCATTACTTTAAGTAATGACACGCTTAAAGGCACTCGTGCCACTCTTCATTACTTTAGTCCTCCTTCAGTATCTGTGGCGGGGCGGGGATGGGTTCTCCTGTGGATACCAAATTCTTAGATGCTTGTGGGTGCATGCTAAATCATTTCAGTCGTGTCTGACTCTTGGCAACCCTATGGACTGTAGCCCACCAGGCTCTGTCGCCCCTGGGATACTCCAGGCAAGAATACCAGAGTGGGTTGCCATTTCCTCCTTCAGGGGGTCTTCCAGACTCAGGGAATGAACCCTTGTTTCTTGAGTCTCCTGCATTAACAGGTGTGTCCTTCACCACTAGTACTACCTGGCAAGCCCCTCTGAGATGCTCAAGTTCCTTATGTAAAATGGCATAGTACAGTCAGCCCTCCATACCTAGGACCGGCACATTTAAATGTAACAGTTGGTATTTTATTAACAACTAGTTTTATTAATATTTTTTAAATTGAAGCTATAAATTAATGCTAAGGAAAATAGAAAATACCCTGTTCCTGTATGGACACGAAGTTTTTTCTTGTTCTACCCCACCTCCCCACGATTAATTTCTTTTGGGTAGTAGGCTGTTCATGCTGCTGTTTTCATTCCGACTCAAAATTGTCTGCCAAGGAACCTTTGCTTTTGGTATTCCTAGAACACTTTTACCGTGTCTACCTAGTAAAATCTCTCAGCTTTGTTGTTTAAATTCTCTGGCCCTTAGCATTTAGAACATTTATTGAGTGCCTCATAGAAGTTATTTTGTATGACTGTCATCACTACTAGTCTGGGTGTTTAAGGATGAATCAGATGAATAGTAATAAAAAATTCCATTTTCTTGGCAATGAAAAGAATATGAGTAATTGGAAATAATCAAACAGTAGATGAACTAGGGAATCAGCAGTAGAAAAATTGGTGAGATGCTGTAGAAGGTTTGAAAAAATGAAGACCATTAAACATGAGGACTGTTAGGTTAGGTGGGCAGCTTAGGTTGTGATGAATTAATTTAGCAGGTGCTAGATAGCAGCGGAGAAGGCAGTGGCAACTCACTCCAGTACTCTTGCCTGGAGAATCCCAGGGGCGGCGGAGCCTGGTGGGCTGCCATCTATGGGGTCGCATGGAGTCGGACATGACTGAAGCGACTTAGCAGCAGGCTAAGGAAAGACTGGAGAGGAAATGATACTTAACCATTAAGGGAATATAGGACTATACTGGAAAGGTAATAAGAATCAAAACAATTTTATTGTGATGGTGGTTGGTGGTTTGTTTTGTCTTTTTTTTTCCATTTTAAGAGTATGGTATTAAATGCATTCATATTTTTGTACACTCATCACAGCCATCCAGCTCCATAATTTTTTTTATCTTGTAAAACTGAAACTGCGAGTTAAACAAGGACTCTCATTCTCCTCCCCTTTCAGCCACTGACAAACCACCATCTTTCTTTCTGTCTCTATGATTTTGACTGCTCTTAAGTATCTCATCTAAGTGAAATCACAATTATTTGTCTTATAACTAGTTTATTTCACTTGGCATAATGTCCTCAAGGTTTATCCATGTTGTAGAGTATCAAAGAATTTTCTTTCTAGTACTAGTTGATACTTTTCTTTTTAAAGAAGGTGGAGCCGTAATGTGTTTGTAAGGTAAGTTGAAAAAAGTTAACAGGAAACTAGGAGGAGATACAGTCTACAAGAGGAAGAATACTTTTTCCTCTAAAACAAGCAGGGATATACGTATAGGTCCTTGGAATTGTCAAAAGTGCAGAAAGCTAAAGTAAAACTAATGAATCACTAACAAAATTTGTAAAAATTTACTGTGCACATACCAAAAAGACAGTTTACAAACAGGGAGCTCTCAAACCAGACATGGAATGAGGCTCAGTGGTATGTTGTTATTAATACAAAGCAGCTTATATGGTGAGCAGGCGATGTCTTCAAGTATTTGATGATTAAAATAATGACCAATCTGTTTTTGTCCAGAGAGGCTTCAACTGGTGTCCATTTATTTTTTATTTTTAACAGCATTAGCCATTTTGTTCCAGTATCTTAATTTTATTTCTCTCAAAGGTCGAGGTCAAGGAGGCATTCTCATAGACGTTACACTCGATCCAGATCCCATTCTCACTCTCATAGGAGACGGTCTCGAAGTAGGTCATACACACCAGAATACCGGCGTCGAAGGAGCCGAAGTCATTCTCCAATGTCTAACCGGAGAAGACATACAGGCAGCAGGGTATATGGTTTTTAAGTTAATGAAAGCTTTTAATGTGTTTCCTGTGTCTTTAGTCATAGATAAAACCTTGCTTTTGTAAGAGTTAGAGCACCGTTTTGAAGTGGTACTCCAGAAACATCCTTGGCTATATGAATCTTGTTTATATGCATTCAAGTGTATTTTCTTTTCTTGACTTTGGAGTCATTAGAAGAAATTTGGGGGGAAACATGTTGCAAGAATTGAAATAAAAAGCTTAACTTGAAAATATTCTTGAGATTAAAAGTTTTACTATGGGAAGAGGGTAGCAAGGAAATATCAAGCTAACACTTATACTGAGCAATATGCAAAGTTCCTCAGTGCATTAATATATGCAGTTAACCTTTCTGTGAGACAGGTTACCTTATTATTGATAAAGAAATGGAGTCTTGGATATGTGACATTGAGGTTTGATTGTATTTAACGGTGATGGGGTCTGCTATTATTTAATGGTGTTTTGAAATCTGCACATTAATTTTTCAAATCTGCAAAGAATATCCTTGCTAAAGAGTGAAAATATAAGAGGGGAGTCTAATCAGCAATTGCAGATGAAGTCAGGTTGAGTACGGATCTATAAGGGATATAAAACATTTGAATAAACTAGTAATAGACATTAAACTAAACATAAATTCTTAGTATATGTCCTGAAAATTGCTGGACTAGTGTATTAGGGACATTTTTATTCAGTCTATAACCTGAAGTATATTCTAAAGAAGGCTTGAGTGTACTGTAAAATACAGCTCATCTGGTTTTTTCCTTTTAAATTCTTGTTTCCAAGTGACTTTGTGTATTGGGTGAAGTGCCCTAAGCAGAAGTATTTCTGTGTTTGTTGGTTTTTTTTAATTTGGAACTTAAATAACATCTTTATTCAACAGGCAAATCCTGATCCCAATACTTGTCTAGGAGTGTTTGGCCTCAGTTTGTACACAACAGAGAGAGATCTTCGAGAAGTATTTTCTCGATATGGACCGTTGAGTGGTGTCAATGTGGTTTATGACCAGCGAACTGGACGGTCACGAGGATTTGCTTTTGTTTATTTCGAGAGAATAGATGACTCAAAGGAGGTAATTTTTTGTGTTATATTTGTCACTTTGAAAAATTTCTGATGTGCATTATTTAGTATTGAGTTACTTTTGAAAGTTGATTAATAAATTTACAGTTCCTTAAACATTATGTGCTCTTGAATTCTCTGACATGACTTAAACTCTGCCTGTTAGTGTTAAAATTGAAATGTTCAGTTTCACTTTCCAGCTAAAATGCATATAGGTATATCCTGAGTAAAATCTGGCCTTGTGAAGTAGTATATGAGTTAAATGGAAAAGGTGAAGTGTATGTAAGTGTTCTCTTTTGAAAAAGCCTTATTCATGCTCTAAGCAAATGATTACATTGACTTTTTAAAAATTGTGTTTAGGTTTAATCTGTTTAATTTTTTTGTGTCTAATTATCTCCATGTCTATACAGAGCTTTGTTTTTCTATTCTCTTAATATTCATCTATCATTCTGTTCTATAAATGAAAAATAATACATGGAAAGAGTTGGTACCTTTTCATTTTTGTTTAGTGCCCTTAATATGCCTAACAGAATGATCCCAGTCAGTGTCAGAGATTTGAAATAGTGTTGTTCTAATGTACTAGGTAATGGATTGTAGAGGAAGCAGTAGGCTTGCCTTCAAAAGTTCATGGTGATTGAATTGAAAATTCCATTTTAAGGAATTTTTGAAGCTCATTTGTTAAAGGACGGAAGGTACTGGCTTGTCTTTTTTGTACCATTTTATATGTGACAGTAGTTGGGTATAGATCATTATTGCTCTTTGTATCAGTAGTGTTTGATTACAGTATAAACAGTCATATTAAAAGCATATCTTTCAACAGTAATAGATGCTATTGACATCTGGTAGTAAAGCAGGGATGATATTAAACATCCTACAATGCATAGGGTAGCCCCCGACAACCCAGAATTGACCACTGCCAAATGTCAGTGGTAGTGTCGTTGAAAAACCTGGATAAATCTAACAAAATAATGGTCTCAGTTGAAGGGATTTATATGATAGACATACTGATAGACTAGTGGTTTTTTATTGTTGCATATTTGTGTTTTGTTTTTTCCTGTTCTCAATTAAAGGATAAAGGTGTAAATTTAGAAATACCAGGGTATCTGACCTGAAGTAAAAATGCAGACAATATCACAATTAAAATTTGTTTAAATGTGAAGCTTGTTTGCCCTGCCTTTTGACACCCCCGCTCCTTAGGTTTATATCTGAATGAAGTAAAACGGAAATGACAGCTCACTTAGTTCCAAAATGCTTCTTAAAATGTGTTAAAGTGGTTGATTTACTAATGCTTTTATTAGTATTAGTACCAAAGGGCAGAATGATAGGGAATAGGAGCACAGGTATAATCTTGGTGGCAGATTAGTAAGTTCCTTTGTATTTGAAGCTCACTAGGTGGCAGTATGTTCTTTAAGGAACGGCTTGACTAGTTTAGACCTGTTCACTAAATTGCACTTTCTGCTTTTAGTTGCTCAGACTGAAGCTAGATTCTGAAGCCTCAGAATTCTGCAGGTTCTGTGGTTGCTTCTTTATAACTTTTAACACAAGCCTGCGTAAGTGTTCTTGTATACATTGAAAATTCATTATTTTTGACAGGCATATAGCAGGAATTAATATAAGTCCTTGCTGTTTTTACTTGAAAGAAATGTTTACCAAATTTTCAATTTTGAAAGTTTCCCCTTGGTAAGTTATGCATGACTTTCTGTGCCTGTTCTCTTTTATAGGCTATGGAAAGGGCAAATGGAATGGAACTGGATGGTAGAAGAATTCGGGTGGATTATTCTATCACCAAGAGAGCACACACACCAACACCAGGCATATACATGGGCAGACCAACTCAGTAAGATATCGAGTTTCCTAAGCTGAATTTTAAGAGTCAGAAAGCCACCAGAAATGTGTGCACATCTTTGGTTAATCAAGAGATAAAACTTTTTTCCCCTGTAATTATAATTGAAAGTTATTTGATGTGAATATATATTTATATATATTCTTTGAATCACTTTAATTTTTTATATGTATATTTGAGCAGGGGGACAAAACTAGTTGAAGTGCATTCCTAGTTCTTTTCTTGTACTATACAATAGAAAAATTATTAAACACTAGAAAAATACAGTATGCTTTTAAATACTTATTGTATTTATGTGACCTTGGAAGCCTCTGTGTATAGGAAAAAGTTTTTTGATATATTAAAACCAGAGGGTGAAAGAAGGAATATAGGCTTTCATTTAATGTGAAGCCTCTTGGGGGGAAAAAAGGATTTGACAAGGAGAGCCCACTGAAAACTAAAGTGAAAATAATGTCCATATGATTAAGAGCTAGGAAAACAACAAGGAAAAGAGGGCTTAGAATTTAAATTCACTGATAGACGTTTGAACACTAGACCTTAACATTTAGTGCTGGACTTCAGTATAAAGTAGTTAGTTTTCTTTGGTGTTCAGGCTTGGATACTTTTAAATTACTGAGGTTTATTAACTGCTTTTGAACTGGTTGTAGAACATATGTCTTAGTACTTTGGTACTTTTTCTCAGCACAGTGCTTTTTTTCACCTTATTGAAAAGGTCTTACTGAATTGGATAGTGCGTTCTAAGTGCCTTATAATTTGTAGAGTTTAGTGAAATTATTCCTGGCTATTTATGTTATAAATAATTAAGCAGAGTACCATAGGAGTCAACAAAGTAAGACATTGAAGTAACTGGCATGAAAGGGTTATTACTTCTGTCTTACCTTCTTCCATGTTATTTAAGCATCTATTTGTATTAAATGATAATAGAAAATAATCATTCCTGTTGATGTGGAACTTTCACCTTTTTCCACAGCAGTGGCGGCGGTGGTGGTGGCGGCGGGGGTGGCGGTGGAGGAGGCGGCAGACGTCGAGACTCTTACTATGATCGAGGATACGATCGTGGGTACGACAGATACGAAGACTATGATTACCGGTACAGGTAGTGTTGTAACTTATGACTTCTGTTCTGAATTAAATGATAATAGTAGTATTGGCACTTTTAATTTGTTTAATGTGTATTGATAAAAATGAGTGAAATATGGGACTTCCCTGGCAGTCCAGTGTTGATACTCTGTAGTTGCAATGAAGAGGCATGTGTGTTTCTGTTGGCCAATATTCATCTTGTATAGTTGGTGCATTGAAAAATTAATAGCTTAGCTTAGATCTGCTACTATTTTGAATGATGAAATTTTTGTTTTTACCTGCTTCAATGTAGTGATTATGTGCTTTGCTAAGTAATCTTTTATTTCCTACAGAAGAAGATCACCTTCTCCTTACTACAGTCGATACAGATCACGATCAAGATCTCGATCCTACAGCCCAAGTATGTATACTTTTGCTTGTCACATTGGGAACCTTATTTGTTATTAATGGCTTATTTTAGAAAATTAGGGTGTATGGTGACTGTTAATAGTTGGGAAAATATTAGGCAAGTGCAACTGTAATTGTCATTTGACTTATTTTTTTTTTTTTTTTAACTCTTTTCCAGGACGCTATTAATAAGCAGAGCGGTTGCAGTTGAGGACATCTTTTTCTCTTTTTTTAAATTCTGGATTTCCCCAAGCTTCTAATCCTTCCTACTCCTCAAAAAGAACCCTTAAAAAATCTTTGGTTTGTTTAGCATCTACACTTTGTCAATTGTATTGCTATTTTCCACCCCTTTTATTATATTCTTAAAGATGTAATTGTCATTTTTGAGTAGTTAAACATCTTGAGTAAAAAAGGAACCCCCAGTGTTATGCTTTGTAAATGATTTTTTTGTTTGTTTTTTGCTTTTATGGGAAATTCACTCCTATCTTATCAAAATGAGGAAAGAAATGATCTTTTTAAAGCTTCTTTTGTGTTAGATATTGTATTAGACATTGTATTAGAGGTCTGCATTTACTACAAACTCCTTTTTTAACTTTCTTTTGGGGAAGTTAGTAGTAGTTCAGTCAGGTCAAGTTTGTCTGGGGTGGCATGGAACAGTCAAATAGTTGAGTGTAGAAAGTTTGAAGCTATAGAAAAAACGCTTACTTGGTCATTTCTTTTGAAGAACAGAATTTTTGAACCCTAAAAATTACATCTTTTTTTTTTTTTTTAGAAATGAAAAGCTTGTGGACTCCTGCAAAACATGTTGTATTTAAAATACATTTGTTGAAACTTAAAAACGTAAAGTGTGATTTTTGTGTTGAATTTATTAAAGTTTAATCAGTGAAGGACAGCCCTTATTATTTATTATTTAAAGCAATTGTATAATTGCTATTAGAAATTTTGGTATTGGGACAATGGTTTAGGCAGGCTGTTTGTATAGAGTTCTTAGGTAGTGGGGGGGAGTAGTCTTCTTTCAAATAAAAGTTAATTTCTTTGAAAATGGGACTCTTTTCTTTATTGTGGTACAGTGGGAAAATATAACTGGATTAACTTGGATTTCCTTTTTCCTAGTGCTTTTGCATGCTTGAGTCTTGAAAAACCCTTTTCTTTCCTCCCTTTTTTTGTCAACTATCAATATTGATAGTATTCAATGTTGAAGAAAAGATAAATAGCATGGTTTATTTCTTCAAGAAGCCCACGTTCTAATGGGAAAACACACTTAAATGACTAATGTAATGAAAGGGGAAGCTGTTTGAATGAAGAGGTGGATGATTTTTCAGGTGACCTTTATAAAAAAGTAGAGGAACATGAGCCTCCTTTGTTTTGTCCCTCAAAGCAATGGGAATAAAATTAGATAATATTATGATCTGTATGCTAGCTCAGTGAGATCTATGGAATACAAGTACCTCAGACATCTTTATTAAAAAGCTAACTTGCAAAAAAAAAAAAAAGCTAACTTGCCACTAAGGGCTATCTTAGAGAATAAAGCTCTCTCTTGTTGGTCCCTACAGGATTTTTGTTCTTTAAGCTGGGTTATTTAAAGACTGGAAATCATTGCCCTAATGAGAACACTGATTTGTTGACTGTCGGAATACTTTAAAAAATTTATGTATCATCAAAAAGTAAAAATGTTAGCCAAAATGTGGAAGAGAATTAATAGCCACATAAAGAGATACTGAACATGATTAAAGACACAGTATGTAGAGAATACAATACCCTGGCAGTTCAGTGGTTAGGACTCCACTGACTGCTCAGGGCCACAGTTCAGTCTCTGGTGGAGGAACTAAGATTTCCACAAACCACACAGTGTGGCAAAAAAAAAATTATACACACATACATACTGTAATAAAGGTGCATGAATGCGTCCTCAAACTTGTGATAATGTGAGATGATTCAGTGCCCATGTGATGAATTAGGTGAGTGAAAGGCATCGTTAGGTTACAGTCGACCTGATGATATGTCAGGAGGAGGATCATGTGCTCCAGGTGATGCTGAATCATGGATTTATGATGATGCTGATGGTTGGAGATCCTAAGAAGGATGAAGCAGGATGGTGCAAGAGTTCATCACTCAGAGTGGCTTACAATTTAAAACTTATGAATTGCTTCTGGGAATTTTAATATTTTTGGATTATTTGGTCAACCTTAGGTAATTAAAACTACAGAAAGTGAAAGGAGGAACTGTTGTATCTCTCTGATGGTAATTTAATCCAGGAATAGATTTTCCGGACCTGATTATCAGACTGCTACAATTACTGCTTTGTAAATTTGAGAGAATACTTCCTTGATGTAGGAAATATAACTGGCAACATCCTTTAACAATGAGTTGGGGATAAAATTGACAAACTTGGAAAAACTGAGACTCTTCAAATGAAGAGAGGGCCTAATCCTACTCTTCCCTCAAGGTAAACTGGGACACATGGGTAATTGAAGTGTGACAGTTTCAAAGCATCAAATGTGGCTCTGATCGCTTTAATTAGGAAAAAAGGACAAATAAAGGGTCGAATAGGGAGTTTAACTTAAATAGAATTTCCATTGCAGAAGACGAAAAAGTTGGAGGTGGTTGTGTAACAATGAACGTGCTCATGCTACAGATCTGTGCACTTAAAAATGGTAAATTTTATGTATAGTTTGTTGTTTAGTTGCATCCAACCCTTGTGACCCCATGGACGGTAGCCTGCCAGGTTTCTCTTTGTCAACACATTTGTAAACAATGAGGTAATAGTTATAGTGCCTCTTATTCCTGGTGGAGTAAGTGTCCAATGAATACATATATAAATGAGTGAGTTAACAGGGAAATTGTTGGTGGAGCCTGCTAACTGATGATCCTAGTCCAAAATTTCCATCAAGTTAAAATTGAAGTATAAAAGGGATATGACAGAAGGAGTCTAGGCTGAATCATGATGACCCTAAAAATGGATTAAGAATCACTTTTAATATAAATCTGTTTAATAAAGGAAGAGGCAGTTTAATTATGGACTTTTGTGGAAGTCCAGTGGTTAGGACTCAGTGCTTTCACTGTAGGGGCCTGGGTTCTATCCCTGGTCAGGGAACTAAGAATTCTGCAAACTACATGGTGCAGCCAGAAAAAGAAAAAAAAGTATTGGTGCTTAAGTCACCTTGAAAATTCAATTATCCAAAACATCCCTAGTGTCAGATAATTGAAGTATTCTATTTGATATTTACAAAATCAAGTGCAGAGTAGTCATAATGGAAAATGGTTTTTGAAACATTAAAAGGGATATGAATTTTATTTTCAAGTACTGTTACAATAACAAGTATTTCTTTAAAAAATTACTTGTGAAGACATATACTTTTAATACAATTTAAATGTTAAAAGTATGGGTTGTATGATCTAGTTTCTCAATTATTTAGGGTTTTCACTTTTTAATATAAATTTAATAGGTGCAAATTCAAGAAGAAGAAAACCAAAAACATTTGTTGTCTTGTATACAAGGATCCCTACTCCATTATACATTATTGAATGGGAAGACCTAGTAGTATAAATACTCCAATCCTTACACAAAATTTGTGTATAAACATGCAAAAGGGGGAAGGGTTTTGTTAACCACTTATAATAACCTCTATAATGGGCAGTTTGGGAGGAGTAGATGAAATTATTCCAAGGACCATATGGAAGAATGTATGTAGGAATGAATAAACAGGAATAAAATCCAGAATAGATCCAACTACATAGAATTTATAAAGATGACATTTCATTTTGGTAGAAAAATTAAGAGATGGTAAAATTTACTATTTGGAAGACAAACCCTTGCCTTATACTATATTAATGCCAACAAAGGTCTATCTAGTCAAGGCTATGGTTTTTCCAATGGTCATATATGGATCTGAGAGTTGGACTGTAAAGAAAGCTGAGCACCGAAGATTTGATGCTTTTGAACTGTGGTGTTGAAGACTCTTGAGAGTCCCTTGGACAGCAAGGAGATCCAACCAGTCCATCCTAAAGGAGGTCAGTCCTGGGTGTTCAGTGGAAGGACTGATGCTGAAGCTGCAACTCCAATACTTTGGCCACCTGATGTGAAGAGTTGACTCATTTGAAAAGACCCTGATCCTGGGAAAGATTGAAGGCAGAAGGAGAAGGGGACAACAGAGGATGAGATGGCCGGATGGCATCACCGACTCGATGGACATGAGTCTGGGTAAACTGGGAATTGGTGATAGTCAGGGAGGCCTGGTTTGCTGTGGTCCATGGGGTCACAGAGAGTCGGACATGACTGAGCGACTGAACTGAACTGAACTGAACAGATGAATTAGATAACTAAATGTGAAAAATGAAGCTACACATTACCATTTGGCAACCATGATAGTAATAACTAAGCAAGATTTTCATGGATGCCAAAACTAGGGTAAAGGTGTGAGGAATGAGAAAAACAGTCTGAACGTATTTCCCCTGAAGATAATTGGTAATTATGAAGGGAAATAGTTTATACAGTTGACCCTTGAACAACACAGGGGCTTGTCTGTGTACAATTTACAGTTAACCCTCTGTATCTGCACCTCCTCTATTCTCGGATTCAGCAAACCAGGACCATGTAGTGCTGTAGTATTTACTACTGGAAAATTAGCCACATAAATGTAGACCTGTACAATTCAAATTCATGTTGTTCAAGAGTCAACTCTGATTGTATACTGGAGAAACCTGGCAGAGATCTTTTAACCAAGTGATCAAAGGTAACATTACAGTAATGGAGCTGATGGACATCAAGTGCTTCCTGATACGAAACACTAATGACAATATCATTTTTGTGACAGTCCACAAAATATACATAACTTGACTCTAATCATGGGAGAAATAACTCCCAATTGAGAGGCAGTCTATAAAATGACTACATGCTTCAAAAATGCCAATGTCATGAAAGATAAGACTGAGGAATAAAGGAAACTAAAAAGACATAAACTGCAAACCATGATCTAGGATTGTCTTTTATTCTTTTTAAAATATGACTTTTAGATGGTTTCATTTTGTTCAGTCATGGAGATTCATACCATTGATCAATCATTCCTCTAGCTCTTCTTTAGATCAGCTTTATTGTATAGTTTACATAAAATTATATTCACCACTTTTAAGTGTATAATATTTTTTATTAAATATATACAGTCAGGGTTTATATTTTTAATCTAACAGTTACAGAGCGCACAGAAACCTTTTCATATCAATAATTATTCTTAGTACTTCTTTAGTACTTACTGTATTAGAGAATTAATTCTGTAAATTGACTTTCCAGACAGATTGAATTGGTATTAAAAAAGAAGGTTGTATTTGAGTTTAAGTAAAAGTTAGTTAGGGCTTCCCTGGTAGCTCAGGTGGTAAAGAATCTGCCTGCAATGCAGGAGACCTGGATTCAATCCTTGGGTTGGGAAGATCCCCTGGAGGATTCTTGCCTGGAGAGTCCCAATGGACAGAGGAGCCTAATGGGCTCCAGTCCATGGGGTTGCAAAGAGTCAGACAGGACTGAACGACAGCACCACACAGCACAGAAGCTAAGTTCTCACTAAGCTAAGGGTTATTCTACTTTTAGGTGACAGAGATGTGTCATAAAAAAAACAAAGTGCTAAAATCTTATTTAGTGAAACAATTTTCATTCCATGACTTTTAGACTGTTTAGTAAAGGTCCTATAATTTCCACAATAAAATACAATTAGACATTAAGGTGTGCAAAGATTGTTAAAAGTTGTTTATTGGAGTAAAAGCAGGAAGCAAACATTTTTAAAACTTCAAGAGTTGAAATAAAAGAGTTTCTCACTAAACGTCAATTGATGAGAGCATTTAATTAACCAGATCACTCCAAGAGCTGATCAAAATTTACTAAATGTTGGGACTTCCCTGGCTGTCCAGTGGTTAAGACTGTACACTTCGAACAGGCACAGCAGGCACGGGGATCCTGACCAGATCCTGCATGCTGCTAAAAAATTAATAAATAAAATTTGATCAAATCATAACATGAATATTCATAGAAATGGGCCAAAGTTTGAGTTCAAT